TAAGCCCATAAACCCCATCTCTTACAGACTGTTACTCACCAAGGGTTGGTAGAGTAAATGCTTTTCTTGCTCCCCTCTCTGTAAAGAAACAAAAGGCCTTTCGGGACCCTTTTTTTGGTGGAAATCTAGAATCATAGAATTATAGAATCATTAAGGTTGGAAAAGACCTCTTAAGATCATCAAGTCCAACTGTCAACTCAACACCACCATGCCCACTAAACCATGTCCCTAAGCGCCTCATCTACACGTCTTTTAAATACTTCCAGGGATGGTGACTCCACCACTTCCCTGGGCAGCCTGTTCCAAGGCCTGACCACTCTTTCAGTAAAGAAGTTTTTCCTGATGTCCAGTCTAAACCTCCCTTGGCACAACTTGAGGCCATTTCCTCTCGTCCTATCGCTGGTTACTTGGCAGAAGAGACCAACCCCCACCTCGCTCCAACCTCCTTTCAGGTAGTTGTAGAGCGCGATGAGATCTCCCCTCAGCCTCCTCTTCTCCAGGCTAAACAGCCCCAGTTCCCTCAGCCGCTCCTCATAAGACTTGTGCTCTAGACCCTTCACCAGCTTTGTTGTCCTTCTCTGGACACGCTCCAGCACCTCAATGTCCTTCTTGCAGTGAGGGGCCCAAAACTGAACACAGGATTCGAGGTGCGGCCTCACCAGGGCCGAGTACAGGGGCACGATCACCTCCCTCCTCCTGCTGGCCACACTATTTCTGATACAGGCCAGGATGCCATTGGCCTTCTTGGCCACCTGGGCACACTGCCGGCTCATGTTCAGCCGGCTGTCAACCAGCACCCCCAGGTCCTTTTCCTCTAGGATCACTGCAGCAGTGAGGTTACACATCCACATTTCGCTAATAGTTCTTTTATGTAGGACAGGCTAATTTCCTGTTAATAAATAGGAAATTAGACCTGCCAGGGTTTGATGCCCACTAGCTCTCCCAAATTCTTTTTAAAGGTCCTAGTCTCCTTGCCCTGGCCTCTTGTCACCGGTCTCGATTTCAGCACTGGGTTGCAGATCACAGGCTGTACTGCAGCAGTTGCAGGTGTGAGCTCCTATAGATGTCTTGGTTAAACATAACGTAGCCCTGTTGCGTCTGTCAAACACAGGTCAATTCAGCACATTGGTCTAAAGCTGCTCCTACCGAGAGCCCAGTTTAAGTTAGTTGCTCATTAAAAAGAAAAAACCAAGATAAAGGACGTGGTTTGGGACCTTTCTTGAATGCCTCGAAAGCGAGCAGCGATGCAAAGGATTGGCTCAGTGTACCTGGAATGGCCGCACGTTCCCTCCATCTTCTCTTGGTCCTGCTGTTGGCAAGCTTCTGCTGCGTCTAAAGCAGTAGGTAGGACACTGCTCTGCCCTTCAGCTCCCGCTAGGTTTCTTACCAGCGAAAAATGTGTTCCTGCTGGGCTTTAAGAGCTGATCATGTTCAGTCTTATCGCCTCTATCTGCAGAGCTGCTGTTCACTTTCCTTTTGCCCTCAGCAGTACAACCTGGCCATTACCGAGTCTGTAAAATCCTTATTACAGCTGGTTGATGAAGCACTCTCCCTCATCATCCTTTCTCTGCAGAGACCTTTGTTGGAAGCAGAGATTATTACATTTTTTCATGCCAATTTCATTAAAAAAAAAATCTGAAAGGAAAACTAATTCTGCTTTGTGATACTTAGGGAAATTAAGTCTTCAAGGAAATGTAATCTTCAGCTCTTTATTTGACTGCAAATGTGTTAATTTATTTAATCGTATCATCGATCAACACAGTACATATAATTATTACCACTATATAATGGATTGGGAAAAATTTACTGTCATTGCCTGTGTAATCAGATATGCTCGTTACTAATTTCTAAACAGCATTGATGAAAAAAAATGGCCTTCCAGGCTTAATTTCATGCCCTACTTCCTGAAAAATTAAATGGGAAGTGAACACACACAAAAACCAGCACAGATGCAGAGTACGAGGCTGGTAACATCTGCCTTATTTGCTGCCCCCTCTGCCATTCATATAACTGAACTCATTTCCCTGTCCTTTGATATTACATTTCAAACAAAATCTTGAGCAGACCTCATCAAAACAATCCTCCAGGCATTCAGTTTCCATTCCCTCTGTCTTGCAGGTACAAATTATTATTTCATTTTACATGTGCAGGGACATTGAAAGCCCTGAACAGGCACTAGAAGAAAAAGTATGAAATGGAATATTTAATGAAAGGCAGCAGCTGAGCTCTCCGAGAAATCAAAAGCTGCTGATCTTGAGGATTCATTGAAGGAATTTTTATTAATCTTATTACCCTAAAGAATTGCTTTTTATATATGTTTTTCAAACAGCATCAAATCCTCATCAAAACAGACACTGTAGTGCCAGCACCATGCTGCTATTGACAGAAGCAATGCGTTATTTGCGTATGATTTTAAACAAGGCTGGCAGAACATGGCACCATTATTAGCACTTTGATATTCTACTATCAGTATTTATTATTATTTATTAGACGCATAAATTCAGCATGGTAACAAGCACCTCCAGTTCCTGTTACAGCAAGGAGCCTTCTAAATGCCCAGCAACTGCTGTAAATGGCTCAAGTTATCCTAGCGTTTGGCATGTGTGTGTGTATGTATATACATGGCATATATATAAGACATACATACATATACGGGGGGGTTGTTTGTAACCATTAAAAAGCTACGGATGTTCACACAGAGGCAAGACCTCCAACAGGATTTCATTCATTTAAACATTTTTAAGGCAAGCTGGTTTTTGCCTGAGAAACTTAGATTTGTATTCATCTGATGGGCGAAACCTGAAAACAGATCTGGGGTAGGAGGAGTGACTGCTCACTCAAGAACAACGGCAGCAGATCACAGCTGCTTTGCATTTAATGTATGTGCATCACAGCTGCACCTGACAGGAGAAGCGGTACAGGGCTGGGCAAGCAGGAAAGCTGCTAATGACATCGCAGCAGAGCTTTATGTTTCTGTAGTTCACAGATGTGGCCCCAGCTGCTAACGGGCTCGAAGTCTCCCCTCGCCTGTTCCCGACCTCAGGGACAGCTCGCCGGGGCCTGCAAGGCTTCTTGCTGCAAAAAGCAGTGTCAATTTTAAGGGAGGGACACAGGTATGGAAGAGCCACAGAGTAAGGACGAGGCTCTTTACTACACACACTAAACGTAGCTCTCGCTCGCATCCCCAGTGCCTGTCTGCAACAGAAGGGAGATCCGTCCCAGGGGGACGCTCCCTGGTCAGGCACAGGGTGGGATTTCAAGCACCCACACAAAGCTGCCATCACAGGAAAGCCATTTCAGCTGCCTCCTCCCTGGTGCTCAGGGGTGAAACAGCCAGCTCGGAGCGTCACCGCCACCCTTCACACGCCTCCCAGCCGAGGAACAACGAGCATAGCGCACGGCAACTGCAAGGGACCTCCTCCGCTTGAGAGCCGGACACGGGTACCCGCGGCTGGGCAGCCTTCCCCGCCACTCTGGTGCTGAACACGCGCGAACATTCACGTACGTGTGGGGACGGATGCTCTACACATTCTTATCTGTATCACAAACGTTCAGGTGACGAATGACTTCCTATCTAAAAGGAAAGGTTACATGCAGAAAAAGCACAGCATAAAGCAAGCCTTGATGAAAAAAAGCAAAACTATGTAGAAACACAGGTATTTTTTTACTAAATGGACACAAGAACAGCATGGTTTTTTAAGTGACAGATTTCAATGAAAATCTAAGGATAAGAAAATGGAAACATTCCTTTATGACATTACAATGCACTGAAAAAAAATTTAACTTAAATTACAAATCCTCAGGCGGAGTATGTTTGCATCTGCCCATGTTCTGCACTGGCTGGAAGTTGTATGGTCAGGGAGTTGAACATCACATCCAAGCAGATAAATCCTCCCGAGAGGCGGGATAACTACCAACGTTTGCAGGACTTCCAGCTGGTTCAGAACAGAGGCAGAAATTATTTTTTTCCACTTCCAAAATATACTGGTTGTGCATACTCTGTATCACACTAATTTTTATTTACAGGACATGAGTGCTGAAAAAAAGAGCCAAAAAATTTAAATGTTTTCTTTTTCCTCCACCAGATACTACATCTAAAATTTATGTACATGAAATATATTACAGTTCAAACACACTGAGTAGAAAACAATCGCACTACAGGTGTCTAAAACTACCACCATCATCTACTGTCTCATTTTGGTCGGGTGTTCTCTACTTAACATTGAAAGGTGTGAAGTGTATTCCTGTCGCTCCTACTAACCTCAGTACAACCCTGGCACACGTAACAAAGATCTCGTATGCCATTAAGTCAGCCCTGCAGCAACGCACTATTAGAGCAAGATTGTTTTACTGCAGCTTATCTGTTTCGTCTCGATCACTGGGAACAAGGTATTTTGACTGAAGTCACCTAAGCAGCTGGAGCATTTTAAAAAGCCACTCATTTTCTATAGTCTGTAAAAGAAACTTTGTTATAAACATGGATTTGGGCTTGCTTTGTTTCTAGTAAGAAGTAGCCTAACAATCATGTAATGGAGTTAGGCTCCTTAAAATGTTCCCAGAGGGAGAAAGGCGCAATAAATTGTGTACGATATATACAAGTGTGATGAACTATCAAACCATACTTATTTCTTTTTTAAAAAAGCACAAAAATCCCTGTGGCAGGGAGACTAGTTGCAATACTCCATTTCCAGAAAGTAGCACGGGAAATTTACTCCATGTAGGCAGCTGGCACAGAGCCCCTTGAGCTCCATTATCAAATCTGCCCTGGAGACCGGGCAGAACATCAGGAGCTGTGAAACACTCGGCGTGCTCCGCCCCATCTGGTAAGGCCCTGCTAGAAACGGAACTGTGGTTATGCAGCATTTACCAGGTCACCCTTACAACACGGGGAAGCCATGTCCACTTAGGGGGATTTAATCTTAAAGCAGATCTTCTGATGTTTTACATTTCTTTAATTCTAATCTGAAGATTTAAAGAGTCAAATTACAGCTTATCAAATTAAAAAAAAAAAGTTATACTTCATTGAGAATTCCTATGTTTAGTCCAAGAACTCAATGGCAGGGCTTGCAAACAGTTTTCCAAAATGATCAGTTTATTTTGGTGGGTCTGTATTAATTCCGTATTTTTCCTTGAGAAGCTTAAGCTGTTCCTCTTTCTTCTTTGTGTCCATCTTTTGGAATGCCTGCAATTAGGAAAATAGAAGATGTGAGGGAAAAAAAAAAAATTCTCATCTTATGACATGTTATTTCCCCATAACCACAACTAACACCACTGTGAACTACACCACCACCACCACACACACACAGTGTTGCTTAATTCTCAACCTCGGAGAATGCCACAGTACCCTGGACACCATCAGTAACTGGCAGAACATCAAGACCTAGAGACTTTTTACCTGCAAACAAGACCTCACATCCTGGTGCAACTGTTCACTTGTAAGACCCCTGCTACCTCTTCTCCAAAGTACGCTCGCCAGAAGCATGTTTTTTTCACACCCTTGGTCCAAAGGTACGTTTTTGCACACAAATCGCCAAGTAAAGATGAAATCCTGACAGTTTATCCAATCCATTCCCTCTACCAGTTTGGATTTATTTCTTAAAATTATCCAAGCAACTGTCTTTTCAAACTGAATTTTTTTTTGTGCTAGCTATATTCACAGTAAGTTAAAAAAAACCCCAGGTGTACCTACCCTGTTTGCATTATAGTACAAAACGACAAGGTATCTGTTGCACACGTTGAATCCTGACAGGTGATCACAAGCGTTTTTGGCATCAAAGATGTCTTCATAGACCACATACGCTGTTCCTCTAGTTTCAGGAGTGTTTCCACTGCAAGCGAGATCAGTTTTAATGTTAAACAAAATAAACATGAAATAGCTCTATTAGTCTTTAGCAGTGACTGAGATTAGATTAACTAATGCAACTTCACTAAAAAACAATTTATTGGGTTTTTTTCTAGATATTAAAATGCATCCCTGCTTTCCACACCAATCTCCACTTACAGTTCAGAGTCAGAGATGACAGGAAAATGTGGCAGAGCGTGTGCTGCATTATGGTCCAAAGGGAATTCACCCTCCACAGCAACTAGCAGAACCTCTTGCTGTAAGGGGCTGTCATATTTCTGGAAATACTTTAAGTTTTCATTACAGCGATTAGCTTGGTTTATTTAATATTACAAGACCAGGCTGTCAGTTAATGGCTGGCTGGATCAGATGTCTCCCTAAAAGGGAATACAGCTCTCGGCACATCACAAAGTCCATTTAGAAGAGTCAAACCAGCCCCGCTGGTCCAAGACCACTTCAGACGCACAATCATCCTTTATCGGACCATCAATTCAATTTCCTTTGCCTGAGGGACCGGAGACACGTCTGGGCACATAACGCTAACTAGCCCAGAGAGATGACAGAGTTGACAGATCTGAAAGATCTCAGCTAAAAGACAGTTACAGTGAACTTAATAATCAGAAGAACTCTCTCTAAGGTGCTTGCTTCTAAGAAGAGAACTCCCGAGGACAAATGACATCACACATATCCACACCAGGATGCATACAAAAATGAAGAGGAGAATGGGATAAAAACTGCACAAAGTACAAAAGTCATTACAAAGGGAGTTCCACGTTATGCCTTGTCTCGTGACGATGTTAGGATTTCTGCGGAAAACAACGCGAAGCGGTGGTTCTGAACGACCAGCAGGGAGGCTGCCTGCAGTTCCCTCTTGGATGCGTACGCCAGCACATCGCTCTGATGGAAAGCTCCCCTGATATGTCTTAATTCTTTATGCTCCAAGTTTTGTTTCCTCCCCCTCCCCTTCCTAAATATTTTTCAGAAGGAGAAAAAAAATCCTTCTGTACAAGTGTCAATACTCCAACCAGCCTTACTACAGTTCTCAAAAGCTCTTCCTGAATTCCAGCTTCAGCCAACTCTTTCTGCTAGAAACTTAGCAGAACTTAATACTAACCAGATGAAATTATGGTTTAATCCACAGCATTCAGACAGTACTCAGGATAACAAACAACATCGGAGCTCAAGTCTTTGATATTTGAAATAACTAAAGAGAAGAGCCTCAGATTTGCTGTAGGCATGTATAATCTCAGTGCACGTTAAAACAAAATTACAGTCAGACCACTGTTATCCATGGACTATGTGGCTTGGGGACAAGCTGTATCCTGACACACAGGGAGTCATTTCTGGTATTTGTTTCTGGTTGACAGGTCCAGCAGCAACAGTAACATCTCTATTTTCCCATTAGTTAAGTATCTAATACTCATTAAGTACGAAAACTGTTTGTATTCAACTTTTGCCTTTCTTATTTTTACCTTTAGTTAAGGTAAAGGGTTAGCTGTATTTAAGATTTACTTAAGAGATTAAGTCATATTTTTACCAACTTATCTAAGTTCACATCAAATTTAAGCTTTTTCACCCTACCTACCAGCAATATTATTTTCTAACGAATTCACACATAGGAGAAATATCATCACATCCATCTTTGGCACACAGGGATACTGCTAAAGTACATTTAACTTTTTCAGCTGTGAAATCCAATTGCTACCTACTGCAATAGTAATACTGACATATAATAACACATATACTAAAGCACATAAAATCCTTAACTTTTCAAAGAAGACTAAAATACTTACACTCTGATTTGTCGAATAGGCCCGTATTTCCCAAAAATATCATACATTTCCTCCGCTGTAATTTTATATGGCAGGTTCCTAATATACAGAATCCGATTGACTTCTGGAGGCAGCCGAATCTGATGCAGAAAGAACATACGGTGCGTTAGACCTAGAGCGCCCACTTCAAGCCTTAAAAGCAGCGGTCTCCGTGCTAAGTCTTGGGGCTAACATCACTGAGAGAGTCCGCGTGCTTCGCTGGTCCTTTTTTTAACCCTCCACAGCTACAAACCTGACGTATTTTTGTCAGCCAAGAGGCCTGCCTGGAGGGGGACGGACTCCCTTGGCCGGGGGCGCGGAAGGAGCGCAGACCGGGCGGGAAGGGCTGTTCTCAGCCCCGGGCCGGTGGGCCCCTCCTCGCCTC